CCACCCCATTATCTCATTAGCAGTTAGTCCCCATCCCCCCAACCCCTCAACCCTACCTCCAGCTCTGGGCAACCGAAGTTCTATTTTCTGTTTCTATAGATGTGCCTCTTTAGGATATTTCAACTAAATAGGATCATACAATATGTGGTCTTTTGTGACTACAGGAATGTTTTAAATCCTCAAAACTCCGTCCAGTCTTTGTACATCCAACTCTTATGCATACTTTAAGGCCCCTTCTCACCCCTCCCAGGAGCCTTTCTTGCTCCCTCCAGTCTGTAGGAATATTTTTCTCCTATTAATGCAGTGTCTTGTTTGGAGTGTTCAAGAAGCACTCGGCATAGCTCGTGGCCCATCTCTGCTGACGCTGTGCTGCCCTCCAGCTGTGATTTCTTCACCTCTGACGTCTTGGGGGTGGCATCTTGCTGCCATACTTCTTGGGCTCCCCCCACTCAACTGTGTCCAGCATAGTGTTCCGCTTGAAATGGATAATCAGTTTATGTGTGTTGAAAGACTAAATGACTCATGCGGATGTTCCCAGACTTTTAGGAAAAAAAGGATTCAGGAGAAAGTGCGAGAAAGAAAGCAAAATCAAGAACAGGAACAAAGATAAAGCATGGAATGTGGGCATTAGAGTCCAAAGGGTTGGCAGCTGCAGCTCAGGTGCGATCCTGTGTTATGACTAGAGGGCATTAAAAGGCCCTGGGCCGCAAAGTGTCTCCCACCTACCTCCAGTAGCAATTGAAAGAACATATTAGTCACTCCCTTAGCTGAAGGCATTAACCGCCTCCATTAAAATGCAAATGTCAACACCTGGGAGAGTGGCAGATTGAGCTATTATCAGCCATTTCCACCTCAGCTCCAATCTGAGCTCTTGGAATATATCCTGCTTCCTGAGGCCCAGAGGTCTGGAGGGGAGTGTAGGGTCTGGAAAAATCTAGGGCCTGGTTCCCTATGGCCAATTGCAAACTTCTTATCATCCTCCATTTCTGAGCCAAGGAAGCCAAAGGTCAAGAGTAAGAGGGCTGATGTCCATGGTTCCTCCTCGGAGCTCCTGGTGGGGACGGGCTAGAGCGGAGGTGGGCTCCTAGGGAACCTCAGCTGGCTGTGCCGGGTGCTAAGACACTGGGCCCCAAGCCTCCATGGATGATGTGCCCTCAAGACGCCCAACGCTCCTTCCTGTTAGCTACTCTCTGACTTGGGGATCATAATGAGTTAGCTGTTCCTGGAAAAGGTAAATCATCTAGTTTAAAACATGGGGCTTGCTCTCAAAATGCAAACATCCAGGGGAGGCTGACACACTTCGGGGAGTCATTTCTACCTAATTTTGGGAATGGGATGATCTTTAAGATTCTTTTCACCCTCGAGAGAGCCTAGGATTCTGAGTTCCTTAACTCCTTGGGGAGAAGTCATTCCAGGGCAGGGCTCTCCTGGGCGAAATTGTGCAGTGGGCAAAGTTCATTTTTGACCCCCAATTCCTAATTGCCTTTCATTTCCGCCCTCTTCCTTCCCGCTTCCGGGCACCCATGCCCTTTCCTGGTTCCATTTGCTTCAGGAAATGCTTAGTGGTCTCAAGTGTTCTCTCCTTACTCTTCCTAACTCATCCCTATGCCAAAACAGCAAGCATCCATTCCCTTAGCGCCCTCCAACCTTGGCTGGGCATTACTGCATTAGTGGGGGAAGCCTGCTGGTTAAACTCATTCACACTGACTTGTTAACCACTGACAGTCGTGGCATAAACCCAGGGGTATCTGCATTCATTTTTTTCAACCACTTTATTGACATACAATTTACATACCATAAAGTTCCTGAAGTTGGGTTAAACTGTGCAAGTCAATGGTTTTTGGTATATTTATCGAGTTGTGCAATCATCACCAGAATCTAATTTTAGAACATTTTCATGACCCCAAAAGAAATCTTGTACCCATTAGCCATCATTCCCCATTCCTCCCCCTCCCCAGGCCTAGGCAACCACTCATCTACTTTCTGTCTCTAGATCTCTATATTCATTTTTAGGGAATGCTTGTCATCTCAAAGCATGACTATCTAATGGTGGAATGTTAAGCAGTGTGGGGGAAGGTATTTTTAGGTAGGGGATTATAATTAATGCCCACTTCTATAAATATTTCTAAATATTCTAAAACATTAATATTCTAATTTCCAAAATACAAATATTCTTCCAAAGAAGGCAGAGGGAGTGAAGAATGAAGTCTTGAAGGATAACTGAGGCACCAGGGGGAAGGTGGCTGGAGGGGGCAGGGGGTGTCTGCTGGTCTCCCAAAGGGCCTGCTGTGCCCTGGGGTGTATGGTCACCTCAGCTCTGCAGACCAAGCACTCATTTCAGAGAGGGGCCTGAGGTGGTCCTTGGGTCAGCCCCTACGTGATGACAACAATCAGGTGTACATTCTGGGGTTGGTCTTCAAAACCTCTGCCTTCTGTTCCTGTGACTCCCACCTTTTCTCGGTTTTCTTCTCACCTTGAGGACTCCTCCTCTACATAGGGGTTGACCTCTGGGTTTCCTTGTCAGCCCTCCACAGGTCAGCCCTCCTCCAGCCAATGGCATCATTCCCATCATCACATCACTTTTGGGCTCCATCTATATTTGCTCTGCAATAGCTTCCTGACTGGTCCCCTATGCTCTTTGATCTTGCTTTTCCAATCTACTTACATCGCCAGAGTTTGCCTCCCAAAATAGAATGGACCATGACACTCCTGTCCCCAAATTTGGGGGCTCTTCATTGTTTTTAAACTGTAGCCCACCTGCCTCCTCTCTGTGTTCAAGAGCTCAACCCACTTTTCCATCTTCACTCATTGCTGCCAGTCCCCTCCTCTCACACCTCAGACTCCATTCAGCTCACTGTTGCCCCCAGATGTACCATTTGTTTATCCAACAAAGAGCTACCGGGCACCACTTTTGTGCCAGGTACCAGGCTAAGCGCTGGGCACAAAAATGAGTAAGACACCAGCTCTGCCCTCAAGGAGTTCAGCTGACGGTGGAGACAGTTCTGAAAACAAGTCAAGATAATAGAATGCGACAAGAGCTATAATAAAGATAAAAGCCAGGTGTGCTGGGAGCTGAGGAGGAGGGAGTGCCTAACAGCCTGGGGGCGAGGTGCAGGGGGATGGGAGGGGCAATAGAGAGGGCTTCGCAGAGGTGCTATAAATTTGATTTGTGCAGGGGGTAGGGGGTAATCTCTGCAGAGGCATCAAGAGCAGTTCAGGGCGGGCAGAAGACGTGGGGAAGTGGTGGACAGTGAAAGCTGGCAAGTAGGAAGAGTATGTTTTGTGGGCAGTTTTCAGTAGAGGGTGTGATACGCGTGATCAAATGGGAACAAAGTAGAGGACAGACTGGAGGGCAAGGAGGGAGCAAGAAGAAGGGTTGATAATTGTCCGGGCAAGGAGCAGGGAGGATCCAGGTAAAGGAGTAGCCAGAGAATGTGGAAGAGAGATGAGAAAAGACTAGGAGGGTGAAGAGGCAGGACTCTGGGAACCCAGTTAGGAGGGGAAGAAGGATCACTACTCTGAGATTAGGGAGTGTGGGAGACCGTCCTAATTCCACCAGAGGTGAGAAAACAGAGGGGGGAGCAAGCTTGTTGGGAGAAGACCCAAAAAATTGAATCTGGGATGCTAGTGGGTACCAAGGAGCATCCGTGGGGAGCTCTCCAGTGGACACGGGGAAGCTTGGTACCGGAAAGGGAGGCAGGGGCTGAAGATACAGATTTCAGAAATATCCTAGAGAAAACAAATTTGTTTATCCTTGGACTCTGTGATTCTACTTGTAGGAATTTCTCCTAAGGATACAATTAAAGATGTGTGTGAAGATTTATCTACAAAAATGCTCATTGTTTATAACAGTAAAAGAGTGGAAACTTTTTATAAACTACTATGACGGTGAAAAATGTCCAACAGTAAGGGATTGGTTAAATAAATTATGCTGCACCCATGTACTGGAATTCTTTTCAGACAATGAAATGAATATTGTAGATGAATGCTTATTGACATGAAAAAATCCACAATTTTTGCTAAGCAGAAAAAAGCAGATTCTAAAACTATTTGTAGAGTAACTCCTATTTTTCATCGAAGAAAAAATTTAAGATGTTAATGGTTCTTACTAGGTGGTATGGTTATGTTTTTTTTCTTTTCTTTTTTTTGTTTTTCTACCTTTAATCGTATATGGCTTTTGTTATAAGATGATGGTTATTTTAAAAGTTTGAATAAAATTAAAAGGAATGACCTAAGGAGAGCTCAAGGCATGAGAAGGATCAAGGGTGGAACTCAATCACCTTGATACTTCTGGTCATCTGGCTTCTGTTCGTGCAGTTGCCTGTCCTGGGTGTCATATTTGTTACATGGCTACATGGTAGAGTACAGGAACACGCTGAATTTAGGTTCCATTCTGCTACAAACTATGGGCCTTGGGCAAACTTTGTGATTCTCTAAGTCTTCATTTTCTCATCTTTATAGTGGGGAAAATAACATCTTCCTCAAAATGGTTATATGATAAAATATTTATAGACATATAGTAGTTGCTTAACAAATATTAGGCCATCCTCCTTTTCTTCTTACTCATCCTTCCTGCTAGCCCCAGACTTGACCTCCAGAGTCTTTTCTGGCCCTCATAGCATAAATTAATGCCTCTTCTCTCTGAACCCCTTAAATGCTGTTTGGACCTCTCCTGAACACTGAACTGTGCTCTGAACTGGAGTTGGTGGCTAGCTCGTCCCCCTCCCTGACTGCATCCAGAGTCTGGTTCTCTCTCCTTGTAGCACTTAACACAGTCTTTGCACATAGCAGGTGCTCTATGAGTGTGTGCTGACTACATTCACAGTGCTTTTTATGACCTAGCTAATCATGGATTACTCAAGGGTTAGTTTATTCAGATCTCTTGGGATTTTTCTCCTCCCAATTTATAACTCTGGCAAAGTTTATCTCCCAATGTGCAAAGAGATGGCCAGCAGAGAGAGAAAGGGAAGCTCACTCAGACCTCCAGGCTTCTTGTCAAGAGCTCTGCAGACAGCTGGAAGATGAAGACAGTAAAGCGAAGGTTGTTTCTCCCTGCCCTGGGTTAAGGTGTGGTTCCCCGCTCTCTCAGTGTTTAGTCTGCCAGAACTCCCAGCAGGACAGCTTAGGAGCAGGGGAATTGGGTAGGTACTAGGTCCTTTTTGACCTACAGTCAAGTCCTTCTTTCCACTCGTGCCTCTGTCGCTGGTGCCGCACAGGAGTATCTGGTATTCTCTGCCCCCTCCCCTGGCCCTCTCCAGCGGGGGCTCCACCTTGCTCTGGTGCGCATCCTTCCCGCTGACACCTTGCTAGGTAGGGGAGGCAGCCTGGCACTGACGAAAGATCTGTCCGTCGCAAGTTAGCAGACCTGTGTGACCCATGGCACGTTGAGTAAGCTCTCGGAGCTTCAGTTTCCGCATTTATAACTGGGAATAATCACACAGGCCCTGTCCCCTGTCACATCCCAGGGTTATTGAGGGGAATCAAATGAGATTTTAAAAAAAGTATGACCGGGCAAAGAGCTCTCCATAAACACCAGGTGTTCCTAGTATTGTCTGTGGGGCTCTCGCTCGGTAACTACCCACCAAAGCGTCCCTGTCCGCCCCGCCCTGGCTGCATCGGCCTCACCCACTGTATCTCCATCTTTTCCGTCCCTGTCTTCCCGCGCCTCAGCGATCTTCAGTCTCTCCATCTCCCCCGTCCATTTCCGGGTCTGGCTTTCGGGCCCCTCCGGCCCCTCCAGGGACTCTGGTCTCCGGCTCCCAGCGGCAGTCGCTGCCCAGGCGTCCCCCGCCCTGTGCGCCCTCCTTTGGCACGGCCGCTGGGCCAGAGAATCGCCCAATAAGAGCGCCGGACTCAAGTCTGACAGCTCAGAAAGCGGCCAATAGAGCTGGGCCAGAGAAGGGGGGCGCAGCGCAGGGGCTGAAGTTGGGTTGAATGGGGGGAGGGGGATTAAAGGGGGATACAAAAGAGGGGAGCTAGGACTAGGGGCGCAGGAACCCAAGCAGGGGGCGGGAGAGGGCCGCGCGCCGCCCAGGTCCAGGCAAGGGACCGCGGCTTGACGCGGCTCCAGGCGCCAGGGAGGGAGGGGGCGCGGCGAGAATTTTAGGTGAGGAAGGGGAGCTGGGGCCCCCGCGGACCCCGGGCGCCTCCCGGGGCCGGGCCTGAGGATGCCGGCGGGGGGCCGAGGCGGGG